TTAAATTTGTTTGAGCAAAATCGGACTAGTGGTTCTCGAGTTATGTCAAAAAAAGACCACCAAAGGTGACAATTTCCCCTATATGATAGTTATATATATATATCTCGATTCCTAGACGTGACCCAGCGAAACGCCGGGACACGTATAACTTGTTTTTGACCGATATAACATTCCCCGTTGGTTTCATCCCTTCCCGATTTTGACTGTCGCATAGTGTAATCGAATGAGGTTTCGGAAATGGCGACTCTTCTTTCGTGCGGTTTCCGCAGAAGATGGAGCGATGAGCTGCATGAGTTTTGCAGCGAAATAGAAATTATGTAGTGAACGCTACGAGTAGTAGCAAAGGAAGAGGAAGGCCCCTTTCTTCGTGGTAACACCGGGTGGAGAAGGGCTTGCCTTCACTTGGCACTAGCCTTCAATTGGTGCAGATGAAGAACGACTGCCGTGCTATGCAGAGCTTGGCCAAAATCGCTTTAGCAGTTACACTGCCAGAATATAAGCATATTAAACAGTATACATTTGATTAACGCAGCTTATAATTCTCGTTTAATATGGCGTGCATACTTTTTCAAACGTTTTTCCAAACTTTTTTTTTGTCCTTGAATCTGTGGCTATTACAGTCCAATTTTTTCCCGTTGCTGCCAACTCAACGCGTGCATATTTGCCATCACCAAATTTACGAGTCATATTTAATGAAATTGTGTGTGTTTAAGCTGGTGTTGCATACTTTGCGCCGTGGTAACTTTATACGCCTCAACACGTTGGTTTCAGCTTTATGATGGTGATGTAGCAAAAATGAAAGAAAAGCGAAAAAATACCGAAAAAACGGAAATTGCCAAATGAAAAATTTTTAACTAAATTTGAAGCGGGCAAATGAATTAAACAAAAAAGGTTATGTGGGCATGGAAAGGGTTAAAGTGGCGGCCCTTTATAGGTGAGTATGACGACTACGCCCGCCAACGTAAATGAATTCGATGAATGCAAAGTTGGTGGCATGCCAACGGTACAAAACAACAACAACAACCACAACAAGAACAAAAGCAACAACCGAAATTATAAAAGGTTAGGCGGTTGCTGCAGCAGGAAGGGACAACATACTGTGCGTCAGCTGTAAAAGGCAGCAGCATAATAGCCGCACTGCGCTTACCACAGCTACGAATAAGTATGCCAATGCAATTATGCAATGAAATAGTAAAAAAAAGCCAAAATTTAGTTTTTATGTGCGCGCATTTTTTCGCATTACTTTGGTTTATTTCACTTTTAATGCCCGCAAACGAATGAAAAATTTATGAATTTTGTGGTTGCAAAGTGTGCAGTACAATGTGTAGGTACATATTTACTAAGCACAAATCCAGTTGTAGTGGTCAGCATTGTGTGAAATGTACATACAAATCTATGCATGTAAATATAAACATTTTTGTTTAGCTTATTTATGTACAGATGTGTGGATGTGCGCTGCGTACATACGCATTAGATCGCTGCATAAGTTGATTGAAATTTCGAGCCAAATCGAATCTTCTTTTCTTTTTTTTCTTTTATAATTATTTTTTTCTTTTAATTTGTATATTGTATTAAAAAAAAATATAATTTTTATTTTATTTAATTCTTAGAAACATATTTTATTTATTTTTCTCTTTCTAGTTTCGCTCCTTTCAATTTTTCTAATTAATTCCATGTAATTTTTAAAAATTTTTACCAAAATACCGATAGAATAAACGCTTAGTCCTCATCGTAAGTACATCTTTAAATTATTCTTTCGAATTGACAATTGTCATAGTAAAGACTTTTGTCATTCGAAAGACAGTTGTCAGAATAGGCCTGTCACCGGTATTGTTTGCCTTTTAGCAATAGGTACACAAAAATTATATGAAATTAAAACAGTAGTATAAACCAACAAAATTAAAAAATATATACATTAGAAACAATATAAAATAAGTTTCTAAAAAATTAAATTTTATTAAAAAAAAATTTTTATATTAAATAAATATTAAAAAATTTAGTAAAATAAAATGAAAAAGAAAAAATATAGGTATATTATTTTTAATTAAACAAAATTAAAAAATATATTTTCTTTCTGAGCAAGGACGGTAATCATTATCAGAAAAATAATTCAAATCAGGATTTAATCATCATGTTATGATTTTTATTTTTTTCGCTTAAAAATAATTAATATTATTTGATTATTATTTTTTCGATCAGAAATTAAAATTTCTATTTTTTCGATCAGCCATAATATTTATTATTGTGTTTTATTTTTCCACTTAAAAATAGTGATTATCTATAAAATTTAAAGGCCATAGAAACAGATACAGCCAAGTAAGATTTCGACCTGAAAATTTTAGGACTTATCTTCTTTTATTAGGGAGTCGCTAAGAGAAAAAATAAAACTCATCTTTGAGGGAAAAAATAAAAGTCATAAAATAATCGATTACAACTTGTTGATTGTTTTGAAAAAAATTTAAAAAATCATGATTATTCTTCATCATTGTTTTTAAAAGAATAAAATTAAGGAAAAAGTGATTGAATTTACAAAACAGATGAAATAAGTTTGTACAAATTAAATAAAATTAAATAAATATTTTTCTTTTTGAAACAATAAAAACTAAATATTAAATGAAAAAAATGAAATAAAAAAGTAAAATAAAAATAAAAACCGCATTAAAAAAATAAAACAAATAAAAAAAGAAACAAATAATAATAATTTATTTTCTAAAAGTGAAATGAATTTAAAAAATATATATATCTTTCGTTTTAAAACAATAAAATTAAGAAAAAATGAAAATAGAAAACAGATGAAATAAGCTTATACAAATCCAATTAAATAAAAAATAAAAAAAAATATTTTTCTTTTTGAATTACCTAAAAAAATTTAAAAATAAATGAAATTAGTAAACAGATAAAATAAATTTCTAAACATTAATTTAAATCAAAACACAAAAGTATTTTTCGTTTAGAAACAATATATGTACACCAAAATGAAAAAGTTTAAATCTAAAAAATTAATAAAATATTTATATATTTTTCTTTTCAAACGAATGAAATATAAAAATTAAAAGAAAACTAGATTGGGGTAAAAACCAAATATTTGAAAAAGGAAAAAAAAATTCCGCTGCCCGAGGATTCGATCTCGGATCTCTCTAGTGGAGCGCCGATGCTCTGCTTACTTGACCACGCGACCTCTGTGCACAAATGATATATCCCACGCTAGCTTTAAAGCACACTTTGAGAGGAATTTTGGGTCATACAACTCTTCGTCCTTGGCGAGTCCTAAAAACGGCCAAAATCGAAAGTTACTCTTAGCATTTTTATTTATTACTCGATTTCGAAGTGTGATATGTTGTTTAAAATTTATTTCTAATTACTTTCTAAGATAAGAACACCATATCTGGCCATTTAAACAGAACTTCACCTCTCATAGAAATGAATATTTCAGTAAGGGAGGCATTTTTTCCTTTAAAACGTAACAATAAATTAATAAACAGAAAAGTTAGAGCAACTTGAAATTTCCATGTCGACCGGTCTAAGAAAATGCCGATGTTCAGAGATAACTTATACGCAAGCGATTAACTTAGGCAGACAGGCAAGTATCTGTCTAGTCAAGTACACAAATAAATTAGCAAAGGCCACATCGCTCCCAAGTCTGCTTGACTGCTGGTTTGGCACAGCGCTTCAGAGCAAAGGTTTTTGTTTCATCGCTCCGCTCTAGCTCCGCTCCGGTATTTTATTGATGGACAGTATTGCCAAGTAAAATAAATAGAATGGAAATTTTTTTAACATGGTTGTTTTCAGGGGCACTACTAAAAAATTTAAATTATGAAAATTTGTTCGTTCTATTCATATTTTTACTATCGACTGACTGTTTATTAAATTGCTAAGCCTCGAGCTTGTTAAAAATGTTTCATGTCAAAGACCAAAAACCAAAAACAAAATAAAAAAGTTTTAGTAAATTTATTAACTGGAAAGTTTTATTTAATGAGATATGGACCAAATTATTATTTTTTGCTTTTTGCTCCAATTCCACTCCAGCTTAAAGGTTCTTGCTCTTTTGCTCCGCTCGGAAGCCCTGGTCTGGCAGCCAAAATAACTCGCTTCCCAGGGCGTATAAGTTATCTAGTATAAACATCAACATTTAGTGCGATCGAAATAGAAACTTAAGCAGGGAACATACGATTTGTACATTTGTACGTTTGCCAGTCACAGAGAGGTTTTGTCTAGAAATTTTTATCGATAACGACTTTCCAAACAACATCACTCTGAAAATGGAAAAATCGGTACAAATGTACAAACCGTGGGATACCTGCTTTAGTAGTTTTGAACCGATTTCACCCATTTTCATTACCACCCCTTGGGTGATTTGACATGTACCACCCCATATGTATATATAAAGTCTAATAAGCACAAAGAAACATATTCATATCTACTTATTTATTTCCTTAATAGCACATCAACTTAATTAAGTAACATTATATTATTGAAATAAATTACAATTAAGTGAGTTACGACTAAAAAGAAGAATACTTATATGTGAGCTTTGTTTTGTTTTTAAAAGATATAAAAATTAAATAAGAAGACCCTTCCAGAAGAAAAATTAAAATAACAGAGGACAGAAAGTAAAATTGTTTATCACAATCGCACACACTATATAGACTTAAAGTGATTAAGTATTATCATCTTGTAGTTACTCCTATTCAGTACAGATTTAACTGAGTCGGGGATATTGTTCCAAAGTCGGATAGCGTTGATGAAAATGATGAGGCTAAATATGTGTATTTCGGGACTAAATATCAGGTTGTGGCGTCTACTGGATTTTGTTGGATATAGCTTCTCATATAAATACATTTCAGATTTCCATTCTAATAACTTACACACAATTATGCAGTTCCTAGCAGTAAGAGAATCAGTAAAGCTACACCCGAAAATTTAATTT